AACTTACAGATGCAATAACAGGGTTACTCACGCATCATTTTCAATGCAAAATTTAGCACACAGCTAGCTGATTAACTAGCCCACCCTTCATGATAAGGGGATATTAAGTAACTCTTGTTAGCTAATCAGGGTGATTTATTTTCAGTCTTAAACTTTTCACAAGAGGCTAACTTCTCAACACCAGTCTGAAGCGTTCCTGTCTCATTTCCAACAGCAAAATTGACTTTCCTACTTTCAAAGCCAGAAAGACTTTTTCGTAATGAAACATGATCGTAGGACTTGAGGGCAGTGATACTAGAGTAATTTTGAACAACACTAAAGTTACCCATTTTGGCTTTCAAGCATCAAGACATCAGAGAGAATGTGACCGATTCTACTGTATCTGTTCACGTGGGCGACAAACCCAGCAAGGACAACATAGCCAGGGACAAGGAGGAGCACTGATACAGGGCAAAGGTCACACCTGTCCATCACAGGGACTCCTAGTAAGGTCACTCAGGGATGACCATTTAACCAACAACTGTGTTCTTTATATCAAAACTTGATAGTAACATCGACATCCCTTCCTCTTAATTCATTCTGTAACCCACAGAATGAATATTCCACAACATATTACCAAGCATATTCACTGAAAGAAACAAAAATGGTCATTCGTGTTTTAAGTTGAGAAATCCTGCTTCCATCAGGGTTCAACCTTTTTGATTTGTTGTTTTATACTGCAGAACTTCCCAGAGCCTTTTAGTAAACTCACTGTGTCCCTGTGATTTGTTCTCAGTACAGAGCATTTCCAGGCTTATCAGACTGCAGACTCTTTCAGAGAGAACCAATTCACACAATAGTGGTGAGTGCCACTCCTTGAGGAATCTTACATCTACGGCCTCAGCAATTGTGTGTGTGTGTGTGTGTGTGTGTGTGTGTGTGTGTGTGTGACTGGTATTAACTGGCACGGTCAGAAAGAACCCACTGCATGGTGTATTTGTTTATTTGTGCTATTATAACACATTACCGCAAACTTAAGTGGCCTCAAGCACCATAATACATTCCTAGTTCTGTATGTTGGAGTCTGACGTGGGTCTCCCTGAGCTGAAATCAAGGTGTTGACAGGGCTGCACTCCCTTCTGGGGGCTCTAGGGAGAATCTGTTCCCTGCCTTTTCCAGTTTTAGAGGCTTCCCACATTCCTTGGTTCACTGCCCACTTCCTCCACCTTCAAAGCCAGCAACACTGCATCTCTCTGATCATTCTACTGTACTATCTCCCGCTGACCACAGAGTAAGAAAGTTGTCAGCTTTTAAAGGTTCATTTTAAAGATCTGTGTGATTAGATTAGGCCCGCTTGGATAGTCTGGGATAATCTCCCCATCTCAACGTTGGCAGACTCCCTTTTTGCCGTGTAAGGTAACACAGTCACAGACTCCAGGGCTCAGGGTTTGGACATCCTTGGGAGCCGTTATTCCGCCTACCACACATGGGTCGGTAAGGACACCTTCAGGGTCCTGGCTGGCAAACAGGGTCGAGGAGGAAGGAGAGCACAACTATTCCTGCAGATGTGACTTCTGTCATATCAGAGTATCAGGGAAATCAAAGTCTTGTCTGATTAAGGGATGTGGAACAATGAACCCGATACGGAACATGTTCCCCAGAATTTGGTGGGTAGTGCTCTGGGACTCAGCCGACACGGCCAGAGGGCCCCCAACAAGATGGGCCTGATTCGGCAAGGTGTCTGTTTCCCAGTAAAAGGTACCCCCTCATCAGCTTTATTGAGGCTTTCCTTACTAAGGGACTGTGAATGCATCACCTCCTATGATGTAGGTGCTGTCATTGTCCTATTTTACCGGTGAGGGAAGACTTTTTATGGTTATGTAACTTGACAAGATCTTGCTCTCACCAAACCAGTAGAAGGTATCAATCTAATTCCAAGGCCCGAGTTCTTAATCCCACACGGCAGTGTTTGCCTTGTAACCCATCTCTCTCACGTCTTCCCCCCCGCATCTCCCATGCAAATTAAGGTCTTTTCTTTGTCTCCATCTGACTGAGGGTCTACATATATGATTCGAGGAGAGTGTTTGCACACACTCACACTCAGGCACACACATTCAGTAACTCTTTCTATTGTTTGTATCTTCATGAGGCTTTATGCCTTGAACACGTATCTTTCTGTTGTGACCTCTGATCAGACATGGAGACTGCTGGGCCTGGGGCACAATAAATCACTAGTACAGGCCTCAGAGTCACATTTAGTTGCAAAACGCAGCGAGGTTGCCATCTGTGGAGTAATGTGGCAAGTTCCTTGAGCACCAGGAACTTCAGTTTCCACCTCTTGTGAGAGATGTATAAAAAAATACCTGCCTCAAAGGGTCCTTGTATGGACTTAAAGAGATGATATACATAAAGCACCTGATGGTGATCACGCAGTACACTGCAGCGATCTCTTATCCTCAACTCCTTGCTGCGTTTACCAACATAAAAGTGCTATTCGAAGCTCTTGTCGCTAGGAAAGATGCTTATCGTCCACCTCTGCTTCCGTCAGTGATGTCTATACAACCATCACCCATAGTTTAACTCACACACCCTATTGTTAAGGTGTGGTTCTTGCTACTCAAAACAATTTTCTTTTAAAAGGCTACGCCTGCCTGGAGAACCAGGGCCTGGGCCTTCTCGAAATTTGCTGATCACATCTGGTTTAGCTTTAGACATTTTCTGGGGTTTTGCCAGCAGCCACGACACTTTAATGGCTACAATAAACCTCAAAGCCTCATCAAATCTTTGCTGTATGTGTGAAAATTATGTCCTCTTCAATTAAACATTCAATCTCGGCTCACACCAAGGCCTTATGGAAAAGGAGCTGAACCTGAGTGGGGATGGGAGATGAAACGGACCGCCACCACGCCGGCCATCTTGCCAGATGGGATTTAGGAGGAGAAGAAATTCATTAGGGAATCCGTGGTCTGCATTTTCTTTAAATATTTACTAGGTGCCTTTCATGTATTAAAAACACTGGCATCTCTAAAGATTAGCAAGGCATTTTTGTTTAAATAGTCAACGCGCGGGGGGGACCCCCAATTTCCTCATCAGCCTTCGTGGTACACGTCACATCTTTTGGGGAGGTCTATCGCGAAGAAGAAAAACAACGGCGGTGGTGTGCAGTTTTCCTTCATAAGGCAGCTCCTCCAGCTTCAGAAGTTCTTGTATTTCCTTAAAACTGACTGAGGAGACTGTGGGTTGAATACTGAGAGATCTAAGATGACACCAAGGACCCCTCCAGAGAAAATAAGGCCCACCCCATGCAGAGGGCTTTGGGGGAGCCCCTGTCTCTCCACTGCCCTCCCAGCTCACTCTTCTTCTCCCTTTGTGGTTTATCATCAAACACACAAGGATGACAAAGGGAGGGGCCCACCCCAGATGCCTGAAAAAGGCAGCCCATGGAAGGAAGGCAGGAGACGAGCAAAGAGCCAACCTAGATCGGATTTTGGCTCAAAAGATTACATGAGAGGGCAGGGCCCACGCTTCATGAGGGCCGAGGGACGAGAGAGGATGGGCTGTCAGGGATGGCCACGGCATGAACAAGCACAGGTCCTCTGGGGTACTGCGAAGTCATCCAGACGACAGGCCAGGGCCCTAAGTCGGCCACCGAGAAGGGACAGAGGCAACTGCCCCGTGATGGCTGACTCCGCTCTCTTACAGCAGGAATCAAGTTTCTCATCTTAGTCAAGGAGAAAACTTCCAGTTGTTCAGAAGAGGAAAAAGAAGGATCACAAGGTCACGTATCGCATTCCTGAGCGGAGCATCCATTTGGTTGAATTCACGCTCTCAACCACATCAACAGCGGGGGAAAAAGAAAATCCACATGTTCCTTTAAAAATAATTTACAAGGTAAAAATATTCACTTGTAACCACGATCCTTATTTAAGCCAGTTTTATGCCCAAAGTAAAAATAAACGGCTCGCCCTACCACCGGGAGCAGATCTTTCCCACTTTACTTCCATTTCCAAGCTGTCCTCCGTCTAAGACTTAGATTTCTGAGCACTCTTTCACAATAAACATTTTTAAAATGTTTATTTTATGTCTTAGTGTAAAAATATTCCTGGTGCAAGCTCTCCATTTCCTCAAGCTCTGCTTCTGGCGCTCTGGGCCCCATTTCCACATTAACACGCTCCCTAAATCCTCCTCAGAGCCCCTCACCCGGAGTTACACAAGCTCCAAGGCGAGTATTTATATTCTTGGACAAGGAGATGTCTCCACAGCGAAAACACAAGACTCGAGAAAGGCCGAAGGAAAATTCCTGCCCAAGAGAGACATACTTCCACCTTTTAAAACAGCCAAGAAGGGCTTTCAGCATTTTGCTTGAGATAATTAAAAATGTAAATTAAACTAAAATAGAATGTTTACTACGGGTGACGCCATCATTACTAGACTCATATACATAAACCAAACATATAGGGACATGTGTGCGTGCGCACACGCGAGAGAGAGAGAGAGTGAGAGAGAGAGAGAGAGAGAGAGAGAGAGAGAGAGAGAGAGAGAGAGAGAGAGAAGGCAGCAAGCATAGTGAACTAGCTTAAAAATGCAATGCAGGAGATTTTCTAATTAGACCTGATCTGCCTCTCACTGGCCGTGGGAATACAGCTTCTCTAAGCCTCATTTTTCTCCCCTATAAAATGGACTTAGTGTAGTTTCAGCTTATTCGTGTTGTTATAAGAATCTTGTGAGACAACAGTAAGAATTCAAAAAAGGGGTTGCTGTTATTATTATTAACATTGTATCTATTAGATGTTGGAAAGCATAGATGTAACAAGCTGTCTATACAGTAAGCGCAGATTAACACTAATAAAAGAGAGGGATGTGTAAAAACTGCCTCCATATAGCACACAGATTCATAGGGACGGCAGCGTACCATAACCAAACTCTGACCAGCGCCATCCGTGAGCCAGATATAAATAATTCTCTTAAATCATTTTTGTAAAAAAATCTTATCATCGTCACAAGGGATCAGTTCCCGTTACCTTCTAGTTGTCTCTTCAGTTTTTTCAAATCTTTTATAAGGTCTTCAAATTTGACTTGGGAGGCCAGAAAGAAATCTTGTGGCTCGGGCAAGGGGAAAACGCTCTTTTCCGTTCCTGCTTCCTAGAATATACGGGAAACAAAAGTACATTATACTTCCTGATGGTCACTTTCAGTTGAAATTCCAATGCATCTTTCATCGGGTGGTAAGAATCATGGCAATGCTCTTCTGCCATCCCCACCTTTGGACTGGTCACTTAGAAGCGCTTTCATGTCTTTCATGGTATCGTTTTGGTCTTACTGTCACTGAGGCTGGCTATGGCCAGGGCTCCGGCAGAGGCTGGTTTCCCCTTTGCCTCTTGAATCAAAGAGAGAATGGTCAGGTATGTCCTAATCTTAGACACGCCGCTCCCAGGGGAAAAAGCATAGGAAGAACACATGAAAGCACTTAGGTTTCAAGTCCCTGTTGAGTGTCACATGGTAGCAATTAGATAACTCGTCTCTGGGATGTGCCAACGGCTGTGAACTGTCAGGTACTGGACAAGGCAGCGCTGCAGTGGAGGAAACCACTGCCCTCCGTTATGCTTCTACCTGCCTTCCCCTGCAGCTTAAAACTCATGCCTGTGTGTCTGTATGTGTGTATGTGTGTGTATGTGGTGTGTGATCAAATTCTTCACTTATCTGTAAAGACGTTCCTAATGTTTTTGGCTTATCTTAGCAAATACTTACAAGGCCGTGGTGGGGTAGAGTTTTAACAAGCTCCACGCTATGCCTAACAGAGGATCTAAGGTGAGGAACCTCTTGAGGGACACAATCTATACTCATGTTGAAAGACAAGCAGAGCCTCAAATATCTTTTCCAGCCCAGCTTGCCCTCTCCCCGACTTGTTTAATATAAGCTTTGTATCCTGCGTGTCTCAGGCAGTCTTCAATTATTCCTCTCTCTGCACAGGCTACTTTGCCAGCTTTCCTTCACATTCCATCTTCCCTCCTGCCATTAGGACTAATTCCAAACCCTAAAACTGCTTTACAAGGCACTTTATGATCTGGCCTCTGTCTCCATCTCCAGCCTGATTTCTCCCTTCCCCTATCTCTACCTCCCTCTCCTAAACGTGCAGAAAATAACAGAACAGGCCACCATCTCTCACCTCTAGGCTTTTGTCTATAAAACTGTCCCTTTCCAACCCTCACCTGGCCTCTCCTCACACCTCCTTGTTCATATGCATCCTTCAAGTCTTAAAACAGGTATCACTTCCTTGAAGGTCTCCTCTAAGCCCCAGCACTTGGGGGTTTCCAGGAGTCCCTGGTATTTACCTAGTTAGCACAACATTAATTTAAAAATTGCCTTGTTAGCTTGTGTGTCTTCCCTACTAGACTACAAACTCTCTGAAGGCAGGAACTGTGTCTTCTTCTTCATAGAATGCATACTATCTGGCCTACCCATAAACTTTGTTCAGTGCCGTTACAGAGAGCTTATAAAATGCTGCTCTGCGAAGTTTGCACCTTGGACAGGAGACACCTAACTTATTATACCATTTTCTGGTGGTTTCAAGAATTCCCTGGACTCCTCTCCCTTCCTTTAAGACCTGGAGCCTTACTTGGGATGATAGGAGAAGGTGGTTTTCCTCATTTGATCAGAACAGCATTTTGCATGATCAGTGTGCTATTTTTCATCTTTCTCTACTTATGTTACTGCTTTGAAAACAAGGGAAACAGTGCAGTAGTCTGAGTGCCAAGATGGAGCGACATCTAAGATGCTGGCCACCAAACTCCATGGTAATCTACACTGGAAAAACTCACGCATATCTCTTTCGATTTTCCAAAATTATTTTTTTTATCAGATTCATTCCTGGCTTCATTTTCTTCAAGCTAGAAAAAAAGAAAATGCTGCTGAGCAAACCAGCCTGGTAGCAGTACTTGTGGAAGTTGCTCAATTAAGAGTTCAAAAGACATGGCTCTAGACGGGTTTCTTGAAACTTCACATGGACCTAGACTTGGACCAAAAACTACACACGAGTGGAAGGAAGCCTAGAGCAGGATTCACCTTCCTTCTTTTAATTGCTCATCACCACTAACCACAAAAATCATCACTTACGCTTCTCAGAGGGAGGGGATCATTTAATAAATCACATCATTTGATGCTCGTGTTGAGTGAAACACATTTTGCACAGTGAAAATGAGGAGAGTGCCACACAAAAGTTGACTTCTTATTTTTCCTAATCTGGACCATCCTGTGTTTGAAGCTAATCTTACTGTAGGATGTTCCTCTGTGAAGTCCATTCCACTGCGTTTAGCTCTCTCCAATGAACGTTAAATTCCACAGGGAAATTCCATCCTTTCTACACCATGCATCTGACTTGGTTGAGGCACACATGATGAGGTAAATACGCTCATGCCAACCTTGACTTTGAACTATTACCTCAAGATTCTTCAGAATACTTCTTCTGCCACACTGGTACCTACTGTCAGGATTTGGGGTATGGTACATAATTGCCTGAAACTCAACACACCTGCCCCACTCTACCATGAAATAGCTCTCACCTCTTCATATCTATTTCCTTACAGACGCCACTTATATTTACAATACATTAAACTCAGCAAGTATTTATCCAGCTCCCACATTGCAGACACTAAGAAAAGAGACAAAAGTGAGTCCTGGACCTCAAGGCGCAATGCCAGGATACTAGGTAATTACTCAGTGACTTCTATGCACAAGGGAATGGTATGTCTGGTGGTAGATACACTGACAACAGTTAGACAAGCCCACCGGGAGGGTAAAAGAGATGACTACACACTTCAACAGTGCTTAGCTTGTCTTCTGGAGGAAACCGTAGGCCTCTGGAAAACAAGGCCATGGAATCTTTACTTTTCAGTCCTTGGTACCTAGGGAAAACTCTGCTTATGTGGACAGTTAAGCAGGACTCCTGACAACATTTTCCCGAGACTTTTTCCATTTATTGATTGCTAGGTTTCTCAACAACTCACAACAGTACCTCTTTCTTCTCAAAGCTAGGACTCCTTGTTCTCAACTTAATGAGAAGGACTAAAACACAGAAAATTGCGCTCAGGTAGATTCGCACAGAAATTTTTATTTCTAATTACCGATGTAATCTAAGCAGAGAGGATGGATTTCAAATTCCACATCTTCAACTTGTTCACAGATGAACACTGTTGATAAAGTGGTGGGTATTACTGCATTTTAATTTCCAAAACTTTGGTTTGCATCCCAGCAGCTAGTTTCAAATATAACCTATTACTGGATGGATATAGATTTCATGGAGATCCCCACAATCTGGTCAGAAGACACTGAGATAACTGGGGGTCTCTGAAGCTGTGTGGCTTAGGAGTCAGTAGATTTGTGCCACTGAATAATGCTTCTCTTTACCAGAGTCAGCTAAACTCCCTTGGCTTCAGCGTTCCCATCTGTAAACCAAGGAGGCTGGATAGCTCTCAAATTCTACACTGGACTTGAAACTCATCCACCTATCCATCATCCAATTTCTGAATGCCAACAACATGCAAGAGTTGAAACCCCATTAGTGTAGTTTTCCACATAATGCCACTTCTTACCTGATCATAGTAACGCAGGTAGTACTTCACGACATAGTCCACCAGATTAATCCCATTATCCTAGGTTTAAAAGAGAAGCTTAAATGAAAATCATTCACATGAGACTCGGCCACATTATACCTACCGCCGAAGAGCTGAAATATCACTTTGTAACTCTAATACTTTTAGTTCGTGCTCCCTGGTTCTAATTCTGTTTGAGACTGGCAAGATTTTCCTCCTCCCCTCTTGTCCCATCCATTTTTTATGGCATCTAAATAAAGACATGATTTTACACTATGCCTTGAGAGTGAAAAAAACCAAACAGATAATCCTCCATCTCTGTGAGTCAATGGTTAAGACAAACCACCAACCAACCCAAACACTGTCTCAACATTTTCTGGCATTAACCAAGAAGGGAGGGAGGGGGGAGGGGGCGAAAGGGAACAGAAAACCATCCCTTCCTTCCCACCTTTCAAAAAAAAAAAAGTGTGTCCTTAATGGCGTGAAAAACAATCAGGAGGGCTTAAAAGGAACACCCTGCCGCTTTATGGCCCTGGGACCCCAGGGGAGAGCAGGCCCTCCCACAAGGCAGCCTTTGTATCTTGCTCACGTGGGTCTAATTCTAATTTGCCTGTGTGTTTCCCCCTCTCTCCATTGCCCCTGCCCTCCATGGGCTGCCTAGATACGGGCTGGTTGTTTCCAAAGAGGTGACTCTGCAGGGGTGTGGAGCCAAATGATAATCAGGCTCAGAGGGTCTGACAGTAGACCCCCGGCCCAATTGCTGTGGGCCAAAGAGTAATTCAAATGCTCAGGCTCCACTGCTGACTCAACGGTGCTCCCTACTCGGGACTGAGTAAATTACAAGTCGCCAACAGCAGCTCCAGGCAGACGTGAGCCTTGTGCTATGCCTAATACTATAGGCGTCTTGCTTTATTCTCGCACAGCAGTTCAACATCTAATTGTGTGTTTTCGAGCAAACAAATATTGGGGATCATGTCATCAAGAAAAGATCAAACATGAAAAACCTATCCTTAGTCAAAAGTCAAAAGAAAGCCAAGGAAAGAACTGTACTGTTAGGGGGAAGATAGAGATGAATGAAAGAATCAGGAACCCTTTTTTTTTTTTAACATTGAAGGTATAGAAGGAAAATAATGGCAGATCATACGTATTCGTTATGAAAAATAAATAAATACCCGACTTTTGACGTCCTTGAGTTTGGGCAGAATTTCTAAGCTGTATCCATCTGCTTGGCCCCGAGTCCTATTTCCTCCATTCATGTAATTTCCAAAAGCCAGAATGAGAGCTAAAATATCCTTCACACTCTTCATGTGCAGCAAACCCTGGGAAGGCAAACACCGATTATTACCGCGCTGAACTCTGAACGCACAACAACAAATACTCACTGAGCACCTGATAGGCTGTTTGCTGGCCTATCACCAACCGGATTCACAGCGGGTGAAACGGAAGATACACTTCATTGAGCCGTAAGTGTCTTAAAAAAAATTCGTTCATAGCCATCCTTTTCTACCCTTGCAATGACTCACAAACTGTGCGTGTTTTAATAATGAATATTAAATACTGGTGTTTAGATTTCCAGTTGAGCCAGTTTTATTTTTAAAATACTTATCTTCAGGGATTTAGAAACTGAAGAAAGAGTCGTTACACTTGGGCTTTGTATCTGGTGGCTTCTGAGTAGAAAGGGTTTGGGGTCACTTTGGACCATGTATCTGTACAAACAGCACAGTTAAGTGGAGGGTAGATACAACAGCAAGTCTATGCTTCCTTATCTCTGGAAATAATCCTCAGGGGTGAGCTACAATCATGCATTTCAAGGCCATAGGCTCTGTATATTAAGCGTTTGCTGACCTGTCTATTAACTTTTACAATTTCAAGCTGCTTGGCGGTTTCTTCAGCTCTCCGTCTCATTTATTTCTCCCTTTTTTTTTTTTTTGCTCCAAGTGCAAATTTTCAAGTTGATACCTTTTACCCTTCTCTATAGATTTAGCCAATTTTATTTTCCTTTATTTTAGGGTAAAGAAAGCAAGCTAAGTGAAGCTTTAGGCTGACTTCTGCTCCTGTCTTCTAGGGTGTATATTATATATTTTGGTGATATTTATGCTTTCTTTACTGAAATCTTTTATATTTTAGAAGGGAAAAAACCATGCCTTCAGACCAGCCACTGAACAGTACAGTATTTGTGGAGGACCGTCATGTCCTTAAGAACATGGGTCATGGTGAGGAAAAAGCCAGGTGCTAGAATTTCACTTATTATAATGAACAGCAGTGTGAGAAAGCCAACAAAAATTTATTTACCCATCACTCATTATCATAATCATTTATTTCATTTATCAAGTGTCTAGAGTCATTTTATTTCACTGTGTAGGCACATTTCAGATGATCCAAGGCACCGGTCTAAGACAAATCTCTTCTGCCATCTAGACCAAGTGGAAAACAAATTCTACTCGACTTAGGTTGGTTTTAAGTGGCTGGCACCTACACTGGGAGGCATTTGGCATATTTGAGAAGGAATCTGTAGAAGTGTCATGTTTCCCTCCCTTTCTCCTTCTGTCAGTCTGCACCCCTTCTTTCTTTCTTTCTCACTCACCTGCATGCACATACACGATCATCCTGAGGATAATTATCACAGTCACATTCAGGAAAACATACTATCTTGAGTCCAAAATTTTTCTACAAAGGGACTCTACTTGCTCTTTCCTACTGCCCACTCCCTCCTTTACCCCCAAGAAGGGCCAAGCCATCTTTAAATGAGGCAGCAGACATACCTTAGAAGCCTGGGTGATGATCTCTACCTTCCGGTGCAAGGCAGTGATACCCTCAGAGAAGACAGATCTGAAGATGATGCACTGGGCACGTTCAGCAAAATTAGGGATCTGGGCCAACTCATGCAGAAATCTGTAAAAATTAAGAATGAATCATCAGGCTTCATACACAATCACAAGGAAAATAAAAAGACAGCAGAAAAAGATTCTCCTTGAGAGCATTCCTTATTTGACAAGGTCAACTGAACAATCATAAAGGTACCAACTAGGCAGGCTCAAGGGACTCCACGAGTATGTGTCCTACTGCTGACAACAGAGCCACTTCTAAAAATGGGCTTCTAGACATCATCTCACACCTGTCAGAATGGCTATCATCAAAGGGAACACAAATAACAAATGTTGGTGAGGATGTAGGGAAAAGGTAACCCTCGTACACCATCGGTGGGATTGTAAGTTGGTGTAGCCTCTATGGAAAATAGTATGGAGGTTTCTCAAAAAGCTAAAAATAGTACTATATGACCCAGCAAGTCCACTCCTGGGTACATATCTGCAAAAGTATCAAAACAGTAATTCAAACAGACACATACACCCCAATGTTCAAAGCAGCATTATTTACAACTGTCAAGATATGGAAGCAACCTAAATGTCCATCAACAGGTGACTGGATAAAGAAGATGTGTATACACACACACACACACACACACACACACACACACACACACACACACACAATGGAATACTACTCAGCTATAAAAAAGAATGAAATTTTGCCATTTGTAGCAACATAGATGGACTGGGAGGACATTATGCTAAGTGAAATAAGTAAGACAGAGAAAGACAAATACTGTATGATATCACTTATGTGTGGAATCTAAAAAATACAGCAAAGTAGTGAATATAACAAAAAAGAAGCAGACCCATAGATATAGAGAACAAACTGGTGGTTACCAGTAAGGAGGTAGAGGGGTAACATAGGGGTGGGGGAGTGAAAGGTACAAACTATTGCGTATAAGATAGGTTCAAGGATGTATTGTACAACATGAAGAATATAGCCAATATTCTGTAATAATTGTAAATGTAAAGTAGCCTTTAAAACTGTATAAAGAACAAAACTTTTTAAATAAAGTGGATTTTTATAGTATATGAATTACTTTAAGAACACAAAGTTAATGCAAGTGTACTGAACCACATCAAGTTATTGATTTCTTGCTACCCAAGTAAGACTAAATCCAAATGGAAAGCATTAATCTTTAGTGTCTGAAAAAAAAAACCCACAATAAACTCCTTTTATAATGCAGTATCCTCTAAAGGTATATTCACACAGGCTAAGACTTGAGGTAAATGTCTATAGACAAATGATTTAAAAAAAACTCTGAAGTGAGATTACTACTATTTATTGCTCAATTAGATAACAGTCTGTAATGATTCTATTCTACAGATATTTGTTTACTTCTCCACATAAACTTAGCTATGTAGACAAGAGTTCACAGCTCCATGCTTGGAACAAAGCAGGCACTCATTAAGTGAACACAAGCTAAAGTTTCTTGAAAACTATGGCAAGACAGATCTCAAAGCTCAAGGTGAGTACTGACCCACACACAGAAGCTCACTGTCTGAGCAGCTGGGAACTGGTGCCCTTTGCAAAATTAAGTTGGAAGAACTCCACACTCTCTAGGCCAACCACCAGAGGAAGGGGTATAAACTAAAGTGGATGGAAAGACTTGGACATGAAGTCAGAAAGGGAGGGAATCCACTCACAGCTATTAAATTCATTTTGGGGCTGAAATGATGATTAACTGATATTTCTGAAAGTCGTGGTCAAGCCATAACACCATTACTTTGACATTCTGCACTCTCTTACCAAGAATGCTTTTACATAGGAGCAAAGCTGGAGTCCCTTTCTTTCCCTAACCAAAGAAATCCCCTTCACTAATACTCTGTGCCTCTTTTACTTCACTTTTAGGGAAGTTTGAGTTTTAATAAGATTCTAACAATCAGCTGTTTTTCTTATTTATCCTACAACCAGGTCATAATAATCCTTTTTTTTTTTTAATGACAGATTAAGCAAAGAATGCCTGGAAAAGAAAACACACTTTTGTTTTAAAGTTTTGTAACTCTGATTATTACGAAAACCATTTGATGGGATTTGAGTGTGGAAACCCAAAGAAACTCTGAATTAGGTCAAGATGGAAAAATTAGACTCTATATGCAAAATTGTTTCTTCGTAAAATTAGTATTAAACCACTGATTCATTTACGACTGAGATTAGAGGTGTCACCAGTCTTGACAAACGTAAGCAGTAAAAAGCTTGCGCAACTGGCGGCATAGGGTCCTGCAGTGAATCTTGGGAAATTTTACTTACTCAGATGCTGCTGAGAATTACCTCGAGGGTAGTGCCCTGTGTTTCTCCCCTTTCAAATGTGACCATGAGACGTTATTCCCTAAGTAGGACCCAGATCTCCGGAGGATGTATACTTCCTTGTTTCAATGAACCAGTGAGTGAAGAGTTTATGGAGAGAATATATAGACCAACACCTCAGCACACCAGCAAGCACAACAGGGAAGAACAAATCTGACTCTGTATTGGAGCTGCTCCTTTAGCTCTAATCCTGTGCTCTGTTCCTTGGCTTCGTTCTGCTGCTTCTTCACCTTGTGGAAAAGAATGCTGCCTCCAGCCTGAAATGCACAGGAGAGCCCTCTGACCCAGGGCTCTGACCTCCACGGTACAACACTTTTCCACCAGTATAAAGATAAGAAGTTGCAGAACTGAGAGTAACATTTCTCTTGTTGGAGATTTACAGGAACATCGTGACCTGACCTACATGGACAGTTACAAGCACAAAGGATTCTGACAAGAAGTTTGCAACCACCAACACCCATCCCCTCCCCTTTTTAGTGTAAAAGGAGCCTGAATTCTGACTTGGGTAAGATGGTTCTCCAGGACATTATAGTCTGCCATCTTCTCGGTCTGCAGTGTTTCTGAATAAAGTCATCATTCCTTGCCCCAACACCTCATCTCCTGGTTTTTTGGCCTGTCCTGTGGCGAGCAAAATGAGTTTGGACTTGGCAACACGAGGACTTAGATGAGATAAAGGAAATGCTGGATGAACAATCACTTATAACCAGTCTCCAAAAAGGAGGATTAGGACCAATCTGAGGAGACAAGCCTATAGGCTCAACCAATTTGTGTTGCCCAGAAAAGAGTAAAATAGAACCACAAGGCTCCCTGGGATCAGAGCCTGACTAGAATCAGGGGCCAAGATGCATATCCAGAGTTGGACAGGGGAGGGAAGTCCAGGAATTTCACACTACTTTTGGATAGAGCTGTAGGGAACGTGTCATTGAAAACACCAGCAGGTCAGTCACCAAGAACTTCAGTCAGTCTTCAGACGTGTCTGCAGCATTTACAATGTGTCAGGTACCATGCTAAGACCTGAGAACAGAATCTTACTCATATGTAATTCCTTCTTGATCACCTGAGAAATAAATCCACAATTACTGTGGAGTGTGGTGAGTGCTCTTGGTGATGGGAGAGCTTACAGAATAGGGGCTACGGACACCACACACAGGGCATCGGAGCCCTGGAGGGACCCTGTTAGCCAAGGTCTCCGGGAGCCCTTTGGTACTCGTGCAGGACACATGAGAGAAACTGGCAGCAAGAGCCTGGACAGGCTGAGTGATGCTTGTGGGGAAGGTGAGAAGCAGCTAAAGTGGGGCTTTGTGTTCTAAAATAGAGTGTGTCCTTTGTGAATGACTGAAGGGTTTTAAACAGAGCAGTGGTACTTTCAGCTTTCTGTTTTAGAAAATCACCCTGGCAATCGCTTGGCTGATTGACTGGAGGTGACGGTGGATTTGAGGCTCACAGCAGTGAGAATATTCTAAGGGGGAAGGTGAGAGGGCCTGTCGTGTGGATGCAGAGGGCTGAATGGTGAGAGTGACCACAGCAGTCACTCCCAGAGGCGCTGACCCATCCCAGGGGATGCTGAGAAGAGTCCAGGATGATTCGCGGGTTTGGGGCCTGGGCAACCTGGTCAGAAGGTGAAGATACAAAATTTGCTGGAGAAGAAAATGTGGGGAAAATGATTTTATGTGGTTTTCTGTCCAGAAATAGCCATGCAAAGTCTTGAGGAAGAGCACTATTCCCGTTCATCTGGGAAAATACCAAAAGTACAGGTTACTTCAAAGGCTAAAAAGTGTCTGATAAATATCTTATCCCCCAGAATGAGTTTCACACTCTACCTGTAAGGCAGAGACAGGCACTCTTTTACATTCCCCCCAAGAGAGGGTCTTGGACATTGGGCTGTGGCGCTTACGAATACTTATGAACTGATTTCCTTTTGGACTAGGCTAACTGTATACCCTAGGGCCAGGGATAGAAAAAACTAAATACCCACAAAGAGCCACAAACTAGGGATCTGCCTCTTCCCTCCTTAATGCAGGCTGAGCTTCCTAGGATGGCCTGTAACTTCAGCCTGTATATGGGAGAGACGTTCTGCACCTCACTGGTTGGGTCACCTCCACAGCAGCAACTTAGGGGCTGAATGATGCAAACAGTCCCCTGTTTTCAAGGGACTAACAATTGCTTTGTCATCCCTCAAACCCCCAAATGACATCCTCTTAGGTGTGTGTGGACGCCCTAACCTGTGTTCTTCCACAGAGGAGTACACCAACCGAGCCTTGTTCCAGCAAGTCAATGTGTCCATGTTGGGAGGTGGGGGAGGTTCCCAAGGCAGCTGTGGACCTTAGTGGAGCACCCCAATAGGCAGCAGATGATGTCCTCATGCCACAAAAAGCATGTGTCAAGTCTCATCAAACCCAGTAAAGCCCCCCTCCCTTCACCACCATTCCAAGCAGAATGTGAAGAGAGTTGAGGGCCATCACTGGAGGGAGTGGCTCTCAAGACAGCCTGATTCCAGGCAGATGTCACCTCTGTGGGAAGAGGCTTTCGAAATCTGGCACCGCAGCACAGGAAAGCTGATGAGGTGAGTGTTGAGGCCAGCTTCTCCATGCTCTGATTTATAGGACTGGGCACCACAAGGATCTTAAGAAACTGCAATGCTGAAGCTATAAATGATTCATGTTTTCCAGTATGTAAAACATGTTTGCAGTCAACTTGCAAATCAGATGCCGGAAAATCAGCCTTTGGCATAAATCAAACACAGGCTGCCCTGTGCGAGAGGTCGGAAGCAAAGGTGAAACTCACTGAGGCCTGAAGGCCCTACCTCTCTGGGCTTCACCTTCTAGCCACTGAGCCCAAGCACATCACCAGGTCGACAGGACCATCCTCTTTGCTGTCAGATCTCAGCACATTCAGGAGGCCATTACAACGACCACTTGCAAATGTTAAAAATGCTCTTCTATCCAGATCATCAGAAGAGAAAGCAGTAATAATAAGTCATCTGCTAATTACTTGCTGCCCCTACTCTGTGTGCTAGCAATTGATCCTGAAAAAACAACTAGAAAATAGTGAGGAAGGCATTAACACAAAAGGAAAATGGGAGCACTTCCAGGAGCAGGGACCCACGGTTCATTTCATGGGGTTGGCCATTCGTATAGCTGAGAGCAGATGGCAAATTAGAGTCCACAGGCCAACCTCAGCCCACTACTTACTTGTGTGACCCATCAGCTAAGGATGATTTCTGTATTTTTAAGCGGTTGAAAAAAAATCAACAGAATGATATTTTGTGACTTGTAAAAATGATATGAAATTCAAATTTCAACATCCATAAACAAAATGCTGTTGGCGCACAGCCACGCTACAGTTGCTTTTGCACTACAATGGTTAACCCGAGTCATTCCAACAGACTGCATGTCCACAAGGCCTAAAATACTTGCTATCTGGTCCTTTATAGGAAGTTGGCCAATTCTGGGCTTAGAGGATCATTGCTTAACGAGGCGCAGTCAGCACTACCCAGGCACCTGATATGCCTCATTGTTCCTGATGGGGTCTCCAAGTTTGCATCCCCTGAGATTCATATGTTCAAATTCCTAACCCCTATTGAGATGGTGGTAACAAGTAGGGCCTTCGGGAAGTAATTTGCGGGGTCAGTGCCCTTCGGAGAAGTTAGTGGCCTTCGCAGAAGAGACCCAGGGGCTTGCCTCCTGCCACATGAAGACACAAAGAGAAGTCAGCAGTCTGCAACCTGGAAGAGGGTTCTCGCCAGAACCCAAGCATGCTGCCTCTGGACCTCAGACTTCCAGCCTCAGGACCGGTGAGAAACACATTTCTGTTGTTGATAAGCTGCCCAGTTTAGGGTACACTGTTACAGCAGCCTAAGCTAAGAGACTGTCCTCAGATACTCCCCGTGGCCTCGTTGATGTCTTATCTCATTACCGGTCACTTCATTTTCAGCCATTAGCACATTGGTGGGAATTAATTTACTATATTAGGAAACGTGACTTGGGAGTGGTCCACAGGATCAGTCAGGGGTGAGCGTCAGTAAGGATGGGGGTTCTAGCTGGTGGAACAGAAGGGCTGGGGAGCCCATCTGCAGACTCACAGTATCCCCAGGCTTCATGGGTGTGTGCTGGGGGGCGGCTGCTGCCATATGCTCCACATGAGAGCAAGTCATCCAAGGTTCCCCACGTTATCATAGAGGTTTGTCATGACTGAGGAAACCTAGAAATTCCCCTGCCCAGTCATTGAGATGGTTTTCTGAACCTAAAAGCCTCAGCATCCATGGGGAGTGGGATGTTCTAGAGGAACCAAGGGCGAGGAATAAAGGTTTCAGTCCAAGTGTTAAAACCCTTGGATGACCTGTTACTCTGAACTCCATCACTCCTTTTCCTCTTCGTTTACTATCCTTTGCCTCGTCTCCAGGCTAGCCTGCATCAGGCAGGAAGCACTCAAGGCAGCACCAGGCCAAGGAGCCCTCTGTCCGCTCTGGACCCATCCCATGCTCTCACAGGGTCCTGGGTGGAGCCTCAGGGCTGCAGAGCCCAAGAAGCTTCTCCCTCACAAGCAGACCCCAAGACCCCAGCCAAGGACAAGAGTCACTCAGTTACACCCTAGAGTTCTGGGTTTTCAAAGCATATGGAACAACACCCCAAACTAGAGAGTAAACACCTCCAGAGAGTGAATGGGGAGAAGTGCAAGCACATGCAAAGGGAGGATGAAAAGTCCCATCCAACCTGGGCAGAGCAGGTGGAGAAATCTGGGAGAAAGCTGGCACGTTCAGGCTCCATTTACCGGATACAACATTTAAGAAAATCAGTTTGAATTCTGTGACTCTGACATCATCTTTTTTAACTGCATCAGCAGAACCTTAAACAGAGCAATAACTTCTTCCTTCCTCAGTTACCCTTTTGGCCAGAATGTTTAGTCTAGGAGGAATTAACAAGTTGCTAGAACAAGAAAGGGGAGTCACGAGGGGGTGGGGTGAGGAGTGGCGACGTGATATCCAGCAGCACAAATCTCCCAGCTGCCTTTCCCGGCAGTCAGGTCACTCTGCTGCGTGCAGGAGGTCAGGGGAATGACGCTGCTGTGACTTAGCTCTGCACAGTTTAGATTGGGTTATTCAGAGCCAGGAGGCAGGAAGGAAGGGACGGCCCTTCTGCTTTTAGCCTAACAGAAAAGTGTTCAAGCATCCTTACTGCTCAGGTTTATCCAGCAACTTCAATTCTTCCTCTTTGGATGTCTCGTAATACTTTCTTATTTTAACCAGTTCATCCTCTTGGGCTCTCTGTGTTGAAATAGAAACAACACACACAAAACAATGAGCAATGCGAATCTGTTTAAAGTAGTGTGTCTCAAAGTGTGGTCTCTGGTCAGCAGCATTAGCTTCACCCATCACTAGTTAGAAATGCAGGTTGCTGGCCCTGCCCCAGACATCAGAGACTCCGGGGTGGGGCTCAACAAGTCCTCTGGGAGATTCCGATCCACGCTAACATTTGAGAATCACTGGCTAAACCCCACGGTCAGAGTAAGTGACCTTTGCTGGATATAGAATCCAGGACATTTGTTTAACTACCTTTGAACCCCATGTCTTCCCTGTAAGACGGGATTTGGGTCAAGTTGTTCTCATTTGCTTCCAGACCCTCAGAACAGCCCTAACTTACGCAGGCTTCTGATTTTTAAATTTCTGGTTACTCTGCTCTCTCTTTCTCTGAGCATTCTCATCTAAGCATTCATTGTTTGTACTACTTATTTTGGCATTGAGTCCCATACTTCCTTAATTTATCCAACTATTCAATCGTACGTAGCTCACCTCTACTGCCAGCTAGCAAGTACCGACCACGTGCAGAGTCCTGAGCCTGAGGTAATAACAGAAAGCATCGAGAAGGCACTTTGCCTTTTACAAAGTCCTTCAACGTCAATTACTGTATCCTTGTTTTTATAGATGACTCCACGGAGGGTTATACCTAGAAGCTGGTAAAGAGCCTGACACGGAATACCTTTCTTCCACAACACCAGGCCGCTCTCCGAGCATTTCACAAATGCACCGTGAGCTCCTGATGGCCTTGTATTTGCATACCTTCTTGTCTACTGATGAAAGCTTTACTGATGGAAACATGAGATGTTTCCACCCAGTGGTCCCAAATGGTTGCTTATAGACACAAAGGATGTATAAAATGCACTGGGAACTGGCAATCCCACTAGGCTGTTTTATCACACTATGGAAATTTTCTATGAGAGACTCACGGTCCCAGGGGAGCTAAGTATTAACATGAATCATTTTTCTGAGCTCGGTGACCAGAGTATACTACAGAGCTCCAGGCAGCTTCCTGGGGAATCCCAGTTCCTCAGTAAAGGAAACCTGGTTCAATCTGTTTTCCAGTCCTAACAGAGTCAGTGAACCAGAACAGCCGACAATTACGGGAACTGGGACTCTCCTGTGCCATCTTCTCAAGACAGCCTGCCAATCGTGCTGGTTATCTCCACATACAAGCCACACTGAAAGCCGGTTGCATGTGTACAGTGCCATTTACTTTCAAAACACTGTTTCTGCTGCTTACACTGGATTCGCCTTTAATAGCCACAGAAAATCACGTACAGCCCATTATAGTCCGCAGTGTGCCGATAATCGAATAGGCTTAAGGAGTTTAACTGGCCCAAAGTTACTCAGCAATGAAAGGTAAAGCCGGACCTCAAACCTAAGAGTAAAGACTCTAAATCCAAAACACACCCACCATGCTACACTATTTCCCATCTTCAATGCCATCAGCTCCCTTGGACTCAAGGGAATCATCCAAGGTCACGTGAGCATCCCCATTCCTCACAGGAAGACACCGGCGTACACGAATACTAGGCCTGTAACTTACCTTCACTCTCATTCCGAGCCACAGGGAGGGCTCCCTGGCACAGAAGTGGCCTCAGTGATGAACCACCCTCCCTTGCCAGAGACAGCTACTCACCCAGATACCACAGTGGGGGTCAAGACCCGAGTGCTTTTCTCATGTTTCCTCTCATTTGAGCTTGCGTTTCTGTGCCTTCATCTCTTCCAGGCAATGTCAAAACCCCTACTGCCAACCACCATGAATGGCTCAGTGATGTTTTGGGGGTGGAAGGAGTCACACATAAACATTTTTTAGACAGTAATTTTTTTTGGTTAACATGGAAAAATCTGGAAACTCTGGCCCTGTAGTGGTTTGATACTCACGTTTTCATATAAGGCTGCTAGGGTCTCTAGATCAACCACAGAGTCATCCACGCTGAAAATGGCTGCCAGGCACCCAAAGAGAAAGAGGAAAAAGGATAAGACATTAGATGAGACTCTCTTGCACTAACACGGACTCCATGTCTAACTTCCCAGCAGCAGAACACTGCCTTCTCTCACACAAGTTGTCTTTCAGCTTGTTTCCATCCCCTTTCCCTTTTAAAAAAAGATTTTTAATTTCCATTTTAATGGAGGTACTGGGGATGGAACCCAGGACCTTGTGGATGCTAGGCACGCACTCCACCACTGAGCTACACCCTCCCCCCGTTCCCTTTCCTTTTGCACCAGGAGCCCCCGTGAAAGAAACCCAAATGATTCCGATTGCTGGCCTAAGCCTTGGCCCTGCCTAGTTTAATTCCTCAAGCTCTGCATCCTTTCTGCAGTTTAATTTAGGCTCCACAGGAGAAGTGTTTGTGCTTTAAAACTAAATCGGTTTGTAGGTCTGAAGCACAATTTTAAATCTTTCTTCTCGGCTGGTAATTGAAGAGATTTAGTACCTAATGCACCAGAACTGACTCTTGCCCATTACAGGAAGAGAGAGAGAAAAAAGACAATGCTGGCAAATTAAATGAATTCAGGCATGTGATTTCAGGCACCTTTCCACGGCCGCTGCAAACATCTTGTTTGGATTAAAAAGACAAGAAAAAGCAATAATTGCATCAATGGCAAATTAAGATTATGGAAACCTCCCATGAGCCAGTCTTAAGGCAAGTTCTCATTCCCATGGTTTTATTTGGATTCTACTTCTTGTTCTGTATCTTAAATAAGTCATTTAGCTGTTAACTAATATACCTATGATTTCATCTAGAGAGATTCCTTCCCATATATAATGGCATACAAACATGGAGATTTTAAAGCCTTAATGGATTTGGCAATCAAAGTGTTTAAAATAGGCAGCTCCACATCTTTAAATAATTATTCAAAACTAATAAGGTTTGTTCCTTCAACCCCACCTCCCTTCTCCAACTTTACATTGTGAAATTAACCAGCACGCTAGTAAATTTTCTCCATGGCAGGCTAATTAATTTTATTAAACCAACCAGTGATATTTAGAATGCCTTAAAATTTTGCTCATCAACCATTATTCCATTCCTTGGCATTACACCACGGTTTTCGGAGAAGGTAGGGACCAAGGAAAAGGGCAGGCTGCTTTCGAACTGTTTTGCTTCTTCTGTAGTTTAGAATCATATGAACCCCTTTTTACAATTTTAACAAAGTTAATTAACTGAACTGAGATCATGTAACTTCACAGAACACCGAGAAATGTACTTAAAATTCCTTTACAGGGCCACCTTCTCTAACTTCAGAGTTAATCAGCAAGCTATTCCTAGCTACGTGGGGTAGTGAGAAAAGAAGAGGTTAATATACTAGTGACAAAGTCAATCGTCTCAGCTTCCAAGACAAAGGAAAATTACACTTCTGAAAAGGCCAGACTGAAACCACAAAAGAAAAACGTCATTTGAGGAAAGAAGGAAAGAATTTACCCTCCCTGGACTGTTGTGCTGTACATGGAGATAATATGAATTCATAACTTACTAGATAAACCAGGCATTTTAAATGTCTGATGCTTTAAAAAAAGACAAAGATAGCCAGGAACAATGTCTAGTTTAAGTAAATTCTAAGAGTCTCCTACAAAAATCGGCCAATAGGAACACAATAAAAAATAATTTATCAGAAATGTTCACTTCTACACTAGGTAGTATATATGAACTGCATGCTTAGCTATAATCAGTAATCTTAACTAATGACAAAAGAGCTGTGGGCTTCTCTTCCTAGTGAGTATATATTTCGTTTTCAGAAGTTAATCAGTCAGGATCCCAGATACACAGTTTGATGGGTTATACAGTCAGCCAGTTCCCCTCCAGTGTGCTAGGTGCCAGAGAGACCACCTAGGGGGGACAAGACCAGAGAACAGCCGTTCTCTGGCGACATTTATTCATTCATGCACTCACCCACCGCTTGAATAAGTATTTGTTGAATGTGCACCAAGTTCTAGAAACTATTCTAAAATGCTGTGATTCTATAAATTCAAAGTGTCTAAGACATTCAAAGCACTTGATCTCGTGAAATTTATACACTAGCTTAGGGGATAGAAAACAAACAAGTAAAAATAGTCACAGATAATGATACACTATGAAGAAAGTAAAGTAGGGAAATGAATAACATGGGAGAGGCTGACGGACGAAGGCTTCTTGGAGGAGGTAACATTTAAGCCAAGAACAGCAGGTCAGTTTTGTGAGCGTCTGGGAGAAGAGCATCCAGGGAGAGGGAACTGCAGAGGGAGGTTTTTTAACCCGACGAAGGAGCAAGCTCAAAGTATAGAAAAAGACCAAGACAATGCTCACGGAGAGAGCGCGGTCCTGGCAGGTTCAGCTGTCTGAGCCTCAGCGTATCTGTAAAACGGGTCTAACTCCACTTACTGAAAATACTAAGTGAGGTAAGATGTATGCCTGGCCCAGCCCACAGAGCATGGTATGAACTCAAAGTGGTACCTATGAACCATGACTATTATGATTTTAAACAGATACATTGTGAATGTGTTTCAGGGCTTTATTAATGCCTTATCTCCTTTAACATTTGGAAAGATTAGAGAAAGAAGACTGCAACTCCTGAGTCGTTTGTGCTATGAATGAAACTTCCTAGAATACTTGAGTGTTTCAGGTAGGAGCAATTGCTATTAAACCCTTTCGGTCCTTCAAAACCCTGCTCAAGGCCCACCTTCAGGAAACATCATTAATAGAAAAGGTATATGCACAAGTGATTCTGATTACAAAAAATGACGGAGCAAATGGCTTCAGGGAAATATGATACCTTTGGGGTCATTTAGAAAGCTAACCTAATTTTTATTTCTCATGTCCATCTTTCCCACCCACCCTCCCCCCCTTCACTATACCACCCATTTTTTAAAAACACAACTCTCAAAATTTAATTTTGATGCTTAAAATACCTCAGATGTCTTTCCTTCAAATATCCGGGGAAGCCTGACTTTTCAGCCCATTCCATTCCTAGCCCCAAGCTACATTTCCAATCTTTCCACTTTTCCACCACTTCCACTTTTCCTGTGCACTCTGTGCTCCAGCCAGCTACACCACTCTCCATTCCTGGACATCCCATGGTTACCTCCCTTCCCACACCTCGTATTCCAAGGCCTAGGTGAAAGGTCCCCTTCCTCTGAAAGGACACTCCTTGACCCTTGGATCATGAAGTACCCACTCCTTTCCTCTTCCACAGCACTGCACTGGTATTCCACACAGGGTGAAAAAAGCCTACTTTCAGAACTCGAGTTTGTAAGTCACTTAACAGTTTCCCTCCCTCACTGGACTGTGCAAGTCCTGGAGTCAGGGCTCCCTTCTACACATCATGATAACCCCAGCACCCAGCAGAGGACCTGGGGTATAACAGGGAAAAAACAAATGTTTATGGATGGGGTAGGTGTTTCAGGAATCCCAAAGAGCGAGTCCTTCTGCTGGGTGTTGGGGAAAGTTCCTTGATAAAGAGAGAAGACACTAATGAACTCACCTACACAACAGAAACAGACTCGCAGACATAGCAAATAATTTTATGGTTATTGGGGGAATGGGGTGGGAAGGGATAAATTCGGGAGTTCAAGATCTGCAAATATTAATTACTATATATAAAAATAGATAAAAACAAATTTCTTCTGTATAGCACAGGGAACTATAGTGAATATCTTATAGTAACCTTTAATGAAAAAGAACATGAAAGAAAAAATATATATATATGTATGTGTTGTACACCAGAAATTGACACATTGTAACTGACTATAATTCAATTTAAAAAAAAGGGGGGGTTTTGAGAGAGAAAACACAGAAACTTTTAAAAAGGATAGGGTTTTGACAGATGAAAATATTACATTATGGAGGGGGGTATATGAATTAAGTTTGTTTGCTCATCACCCCTTTTGATCCCTGATAAAAAAAAAATTAAGGTTTAGTCAGCAGAGCTGCATAATCATGCCCCCATCCACACACCCACTACAGATACCCTGCTTGCTTAAATACTCCATACTGAAAAATTACTAAGTTCAACAAGAGAATTTTCTTGTTTTAAAGGAAAGAATAAGGAAAATATCTTTCCCCTCATTCTGAACCTTCAAAAATGATTTAAAGAGCAGTATCACCTTAGGAAAAAAGGTCTGAGTAAAAATTCAACTGCTATATTGCTTTGGTCAGGCACCTGAAGCTCTCGCTTATTAATCACCATTCATTAAGCTAAATCCATTCGAAGCAGTAACAGTCTGTAAACTGACAAGTGCCAGTGAGCATCAATGGGAAAGACCCGAGACATTCCCTGCGGAAGGAGCAGATGCTGACAGGCTCAGGGAGCACACAGGTGACGGCAGGGAGCCCGATTCTGGCTTGAAGAGAGCATTCACTACATCCAGTTTCAAGCAAGGTCTGATGGAATTCGGAACACCTTGGTAGAGGGCCTGTGGTGCACCTGGAACACAGCAGGGAGGCGCTGAGCAGTTCCGAGTAGGGGAGGAAACGAGATGCAGTTCTATTACACAAGATAGATGAAAACTTGGAAAGACTGGTTTAGAACCTAGTCCAGTGGGGAAGAGGCAGCAAAACCCAGAGCACTGTGGATGGAGAGGACAGGACAGGGGAGAAGGGCTGCAGAGTGCTTATCACTGAGGGGTCCCTGGGACTGGGAAAGCTGGGCGCCACCCCCCCCCAAGGCTTTGTGTCTAGGTTTGGGGAAGAGCTTGGCCACCACAGAAATAGGCAGAGGAGCTCATGAGCTGGAGGGGCACGATGACCCCCCCCCAGGACCCGGGGGTGAAAAGGGGGAGAAGAAGTCGATCGAGAGATGAATTCAGGGCCAACACCAAGTAATCCACTGAGGCTTCCCCTCTTCCACGGAAGGATCTTAGAAGTAAAAAGGTAAAATAAAATTCAGAGGTGGAAGCAGCGTGATGAAGAGATCGTCTGTTGAGCCCAGGAGCTTAAGGAAATTAAATTATTCCTATTATTCCTACCCT